GTCATACCCATGTCATTATACAAATTTGTGTCCTCATAAACCACCCAAACCAGTGCACACAAACACACACACACACACACACACACACACACACACACACACACACACAGCTAAAGATGAATGACAAATAAGAAGTTTAATTTTATAATGGTGGAATTTCCTCAGACTGTTACACATGGGAAAGTGAAAGACAGAGTGCTAGTGAAGCACATTAAATGTGTGCTTCCTATCAAAACCATGATGTGATACTGTGCAGATAATGCTTAAACATGTAAAACTTAACCCTGAGGAAATCCCTTGTGTATGCCGATTACTTACATAAGACTTTATTATTTTACTACAGAAGCGAAAGTCAAGTTCTGCCAGGATTTTTATTTTTTTATTTTTTATTTTTTGTCATTAGATCATTCTTACAGTGTATTCAATTAATTCATTTGCATGTAATCTCTGGGGTGCTGAGGCATTTACCGCAGGCTGTTTCTCAGGGACATTTGAGTTCATAAAGAGGGTGTTACTTGGGTGTACTATAGCTTGGTTGTTTAAAATTTGTATGAGGCTACAGTTGAAAATGAGCTGAAATAGCTAAACTGGAGCGACTACAGAAAGGCATTGAAATAGCATTAACAACCCTCTGACATACGTCCAAGTGAAACAGGACATTCACTGAGGGTGGGACTCGATTTTATAAAGTAAATAGAGTCAGTTTTAATTTAATGCACACTACTGCCTGTAAATGTTAACTGAGTAAAGTAAAATTCTAAACTGGTAACTGGATTGTTATATGTGTATATCCCACAATTCATGAATTATTGTGGCTTTGAGCATGCCACTTAACATCATTTGCTTGCGTGGGACCGTCTTTGCAATAAGTGTATTGTAGGTCACTTTGCATGGAAGCATTGGCTAAATGACAAATTAGGTAGTAATTACTGAATAAATGCAGACATATCTGTCTGTGTTCCACAGGACATGCTGAAAAACACCCCTGTGGGGCATCAGGATAGGCTGCCACTGCAGCTGGCCCTCACTGAGCTCGAGACTCTCGCCGAGAAGCTGAACGAGCAGAAACGGCTGGCCGAGCAGCTCGCTGAAATCCAACAGCTCACTCGTAGCGTCAGTGACCGTAACCTCAGTAAGGTCAGAGACCACCACACTACAAACACACACGGGACACTTCAAAGCATTACCAACCCAACAACACAATGATTTGGCTTTACAAGATAATTTGGCAAGTAGTGAGAAAGGACATGAGCTGTCAGTGTGATCAAACTGCTATTTTCCACATTTCCTCTTTCCAGAAATAGCTTTGACAAAGATGTTTCCTTGCAAGGGTGGCGGGTTGTCAGTGAAAGTTATTTTAGTAGCAGCTATTAACGACCACATTATATCAAAATGTTTGTGTTTTGTGGCTTTAATTTCATGTCTATTAGCTTTGAGGTAATCTATCTGCTTGCACAAGGGACCCCCTTCCTAAAATACTGTATAAAGGCAACTATATTTTTTAATATATGAAGGCCCTTTTTCTATACTGTGTGAAAATAGCAATTGTGAAATGATAAAGACAACATATTGTTTATATTGTCATGTACTGTCAAGCCAGAAGAAGTTATTACAAGATTATCTGTTTATTATTTACTTCATATTGAGTTAACAGAACATTTTTGTGTATTTCTTTCTAGCCACTAGAAAATAATATTTAAATATAAACTAGAAAGCAAACATTTTTCAATTGAAATTAATTTGGATTGTATTTACATACATGTTGTTTGCAAAAAGAAATGTGCTTTTATCCTGTCATACTGTATAAAATATACCGTCATTTTAATGAATGCCAAAATAAGTTTTTAAAATATTATCTGAAAATAATTTATTATCTGAAAATCATTTACTTTGTATTGAGTTAACTACATATTGTTTTGCATATTTCTTTCTACCCACTATTAATGAGATGTTAAATTATAAACCTGAAGACAAACATTTTCAATTCAAACTTGTGTGGTTTTTATATAGATAAAAATTTAAATAGAAAGCAGAATGAAAAACCAGTAATGTCAAATGTAATAAATTTTCAGTTTATTTAAAAATTTGTTTTTGCACTTTTCCCCCTCTGAAATCCTCCCACTTGTGTGACACAAGGAGTTCCCAGACGGTTTAAATGATCTTTTAGCAGATATACACACTTAAAATTAAACTCGGAGTGTCATTATAGGTAAATTAACTACAATTCGTTTAGTAATTTCAGAAGGTTCAAGATCTGATCAATAGAAGTTTCTATTGAGGAGAAAAAATAAATATGATTTCATTTTATGTTCAGTTTGTGTTTTTTTTTTTTTTTTTTTTTGAGTTTTATTTAAGCTAGACTGATTTTATATATTAATATTAGTTATAGTAATAATAATATATTAAAGGGGTGGTTGATTATGATTTCACTTTTTTAACTTTAGTTAGTGTGTGATGTTGCTGTTAGAGCATAAACAACGTCTGCAAAGTTACGACACTCAAAGTTCAATGCAAAGGGAGATATTTTCTTTTAAAGAAATCGCTGTTTAAGGACTACAAAAAAGGCTGGTAGGGACTACAACGAGCTTCTTCCCGTGTTTGTGACATCACTAACCCTGTTGTTTACATAAACCCTGCCCCCGGAACATGCAACTACCAGTAATGGTAAGGGGGCGTGACGTTTCCGGACAACGTGCACTAGGCGGTTAGCGAATCACAACACACTGGGCCTGATTGTGTATTTCTGAGGGAGGGGCTTCATAGAACCAGGAACTCAACAGACTGGTTTGACAAGAATGGAAACAGCGGTGTAGAATAAAGGTAAAATATCTGAAAATAACATGTTTTTTTTTTTTAAACGAAGCATGAACAGGTCACACTGCACCCTATAAACACAATCAAGCCTTCGAAAAAAAGCTGATCAACCACCCCTTTTAATTTAGATAATTTTAATTCATCTTGTGACCCCTAGTGGGCCCCTGCCTCCTGGTTAAGAACCACTGCACTAGAGCGTTCCCACTTCCCTCAGCAGCTGCAATGCACACATACAGTATATCTCACCTTCATATGCAAATAACCAGTTTTTGAATCCCCAAATGTTACATCACTCTTACCTCTGTAGATTTGTTCAACTGCGCAAGTGTTTCATTCAAGGATGTTAGAGTTAGGAATTAAATTAAGATGATGAAGATCAATTAAAAGACATTACTTCAAAGTCAAGAGTCTAAACTGAAGAGCACAGACATACAGGTGATGCAAGTATTCTCTCATGGTGTGGATGTATTCATTTACTTTGTAAAACTGTATTTTTTTATAACAGCAACTGAACTCGGATCAGAAGCAGTTGATTCTGTCTGAGACACTGATTGAGACCGTCTATGGCGAGAAGGGTCAAGTCCTCAAGTCTAAGGAGCGCAAAGTCTTCCTCCTGAATGACATGCTCGTCTGTGCAAACATCAATGTGAAGTAAGCAGTCCTCTTCACACATGCACATCACAACTCTTTAACTTAAACTCAAGGTTTAAGCTCATTGCATTATAATTAATGAAGTTGTTCACCCAAAAATTACATTTTGGCATCATTTACTCACCCTCATTCAAACCTTTTTGAGTTTAACAAAATGTTCATGCTGCTTTTATGTAATGAAAGTACCTGGTGACCTAGAGCTGTCAAGCTTAGAAAATGATGACAAAAGGCACAATAAAAGTAGTTAATGTGACTCATATCCTATATTCCAAGTCATCTAAAGCCGTCTGATTGCTTTGTGTTGAGGAAAAGACAAATTGAAGTTGTTTTTCACTGATAATGTCCTCCTCTGACACATCTTTCAAATTTCATTCATGTTCATATCCAGCGTGTCAAAACATGTCACATCAGGTTTGACATAATTTCATGTCATTGGTTCTCTGTTGGTTTCTTAACAGATTTCAAATGGCAGATTTAAATATGTACATATGCGTGCTTATGTGCGTTTAAATTGCACAAATGAGGTTTGGTGGGGCGAGAGAGAATTTTCTGTGAATAATCTTAAATTAAATGCTGTCATATGGCTTCAGATGACTTGTTATATATAGTGCATGAGTCATATGATCTACTTTTATGATACTTTAATGTCATCTTTGGGGGTCACCATTTACTTTCATTGTATGGAAAAGAGCAGCGCAAACATCCTGCCTAAACTTTCCTTTTGTGTTTAACAGAAGAATGAAAGTCATAAGAGTTTGGAATGATATGAGTGTGAGTAAATGATGACAGACCATTCATTTCTGGTTTAATTAGTATTAAGTAATAAATGAATACAGTTAACTGCAGAAAATTAGAATTCAGTTACTTGCTCATAATTTATGAATTAAGGCCATCTCCATTTTAACTCCCTCTCAACTGACACATAGATACACCGAAACGGGCATTGATAACATCTTTGAGGAGCCAAGGTAACATTCTCACATCTGCCAGGTTTTTTCATTAATGACCACTGGGTCATGCTGTTTTCAAAGACTTCGGATCAGAATGATTTTACACTGTCTTCAAAGTTCTGCTACATTCTTCAGTCTCATCGAACCTTTCTCAATGCAGATCATGCATAACAGAGGAATACATGAATAATAATTTCCTGAAATCACAGTAGGGGGTGTGAGACTCTCTGGGAATTTTTCTGATCACAAAGTTCTAATTGCCTGTCTGATTCCTGGATCTCCGTAACTATCGTTCAGACGTTGTCTGATCATGTATTATTTGTAATTGTGAGTTAGACTTTGTTGTGCAATCTTAAAGTAATTCTTTTGTGTTTAATCAGGGGCCCTCCAGATATCAGCAGCCTAGTCCCTATCGGTCCAAAATACGCAGTTAAGTGGAGTGCCCCCCTGCTGCAAGTGCAAGTGGTGGAGGTGGGCCAGGAGACCCCCCAGCGTAAAGACAGCATCTACCAGCAGAGTGGAAGCAAGCGCCTGAGCTCCACCAACTCTCAAGGTTGGCATTTTTAAAGAGCACTCCTTTCATGTGGTTAGAGGAGCATGGGAAAAATAATGAAATAATGAACTTGGTTTTTTGATGTAGTTGGTGGTAAAGCTGGATCATATAGAATAGAAAAAAATTTTTAAATTGTAAATTATATTTTCAAATATTACTGTTTTTCTTGTATTTTTAAATAAATTCAGCCTTATATATATATATATATATATATATACACACACACACACACACACACACACACATTTTAATATTTTAAAGATTAAATTCTTAATATTTTATATAATTTTATTTCCATTTTAAAAATCAAAAGGATTCATCATTGCATTACTTTTAAGAAATGTTATTTATATTAATAATAGTATTATTTTTACCTACATGTTGTAATATAATCAACCTATCAGAATTGACACTGAATGCTTCTTGGTTCAAGTTGAACATGATTGGATGTGGTGGCTCAAACTAATGATTTTTTCTGTGTTTCATTAAAAGAACTGGCTCATAAGAATCATTTATGAATTGTAAAAGAATGGAAATTAATTAACTGGAGTACACTAGTTCCATTATTTGTATTATAGTGGAGCAGGAAACACTTTCATATAGTATTAATATTCAATGTCCTTATAAATTATTGCATGGATTTTTACTGTTCTCTAACACTGGTAAACACAAGAAATTCCAATTTCCCCACAGTTATGACAGCTTTACCTTTAACAAATCACTGTCTCTGAGCTAATATCAGTGTGCAGTCCTCCTGCTGCATTCATCTTGGGTTTCCTCAGGGCTCAATGTTAAACCCAGCTCATACTCTCCAGCAGGGGAAATATACACTAACAGTCAGAGGACACAACAGAGGGTCTAATTCCAGGATAAGATGAACCAAAAGTCCTTGGGTTACTTTTTCCCTTCTTTTCTTACATCAGAAATTTCAACCTCTTCTCAACATCTTTCCAGCTGTGTTTGAGCTTTCAGCCTGATGCAAATACTGCACAGAATTACAATGTTAGTTGAGCGCAGCCGTTCCATTGCAAGAGTTTGCTGGGGGCATATCATTTCAGTCCCAAAAGATTTAATGTGAATATAATTACTGATTATCATGGAAATGTTATTTGTTCAGGAAAGCTGTTTCTGGGACCACCACGGCTGTATCAGGATCTGCAGGAGTTACAGCATGATCTTTCTGTGGTGGAGGAAGTCACATTGTTGGTGGGCACCCTGCAGGGATCGTACCAGGTAAAATCCTTAATCATCCGCAGCGTTGCACACCTGATCAATATCCGACTGCCAGTGAATAATTCCATCCCTAATTTCCTATTAGGGATGAGCAAAACTATGTATTTTCATAGTCGAATAGTCTGAACAACTAGGGATAATTCATCCAAAAATATCCAAAAATAATGATGAGGTTTTCATTTAATCGCCCATGTTATGCATATCATGTGTGAAACACAAAAAAAGATGTGAGAAAAGAGCAACAAAATACTTTTCTCAAAAAAGTAGTCGAATAGTCTGAACAACTAGGGATAATTCATCCAAAAATGAAAAATTCTGTTTTCATTTAATCGCCCATGTTATGCATATCATGTGTGAAACACAAAAAAAGATGTGAGAAAAGAGCAACAAAATACTTTTCTCAAAAAAGTCAATTTAAAAGTAAACAGAATTTCATTTTTAGGTGAACTATCCATTTAAGGAAGCCCTTAGGCTGCTTGAGAGATGTTTCCACCAGACACCATGCAGATGTTGCTGAAGGACTGTTCAAATAGAGGCATAGTTACAAAAAAAGCATTGTTTGAATCATGACATGAGAGTATATTTCATAAATAATAATTTATAGTTTCAGATTTGTATTTATAATTTCAGAATTTCATTCATTTTGTATTTAAAACATTCATTTTGTGACAATTTCTGCAGATGTTTATTTTGACTAGCTTTGCTAGTATAGGATAGGATCAGTCATAGCCCTGCTTTCATTAACAAAAAATTTAATATTTAACATTTGACATTATTAAATATAAGTCCACTCTGACCAAGATCCAAGTGTTGCTGGCAGCTATTTTAAATATATACGCTAAACATCTGCAACCTTTTATTGCACAAATCTTGTTCACACAAAAAATGGATTATGCATACTAACAGAAACATTGCTCACAGCAGGCAATTTGAAGTCCGACAGTAATTGTCTTGAAATGTGTTGTTGAAGACAGTGGATTTGTAACAAAAGCTCTGCTATGATGGCTGTAGCAGCGGCGCTTTCAAGGGGATGAATTTTGAGATGCAACTTCTCTGAGAGAGTTTACCGCGCTGACAGTTTAGCAGCACGCTGTCAGCATGCTAACACTCTCCACATGAACTTTCCTCTGTAAATCCATTCCTTTTACAGCACACCTGCTAAAAATATTGAAACCAAAACAAAAAATTTGGAGAAAAGCTGGTCAACCTCACTGATCGATTAGTCAACCAATTTGTAGTCTCTGTAGTGTGCAACAGTCAACTGCATTCGTTTTCTCCATGGGGAAATTGATTCTTAACAACAATAGGTGAACAGTCTTGTACTGTTGTCTTTTTGTCCGATTTTCAGATACTTTTTTACTTCAAATCAAAGTTTGTGATGTTGTGTTTCACCTCATAGCTGGTGGGTTTGGTTCATGGCTTATAATGCTTTAACAAGGCCTTTTTAACATCCCTGTGGAAAAATGAGTGGAAAAAATACTTCCGGAACCAGTGTTGCTGAAAAACCGGGCAGGCACTAATGCACTCTATTGTGTCACTTTCTCGCTCTTTAACCTCTCCTTGCGCTAATTATGTTGCAAATGTCAAAAAGCGGGGTGCTAAGTGTGGTAACCGGTTCTTAGTCAGTCTGACAGCTGTCTCCTGTAAATGTGACTGTGTACGTGTACAGAATCTCAACACTACGGTGGGGCAGGACTGGTGCATGGCTCTTCAGAGGCTCATCCGCATCAAAGAGGATGAGATCCAGTGTGCCAACAAGTGTCGTCTACGGCTGATGATTCCTGGGAAGCCTGACAAGTGAGTGCCGACTACCCACTAATGCCAGTGGGCACAGGTTACACAAAATAGAGCTGTGCATTGAATTCCCCTCAAATGTGGGTGGATGTGACAGTTACACTGACTGAAACATATTCATCCATTTCATCACACTTGTACCAGAAGGATTTAGATTTCTTGGATTTGTCTTGGACAGGCTCAGTCCCCAGAGCCACAAGACTTTTGCTGATCTGTTGGAGGTTTAAACACAGGCTGAACAGCTTTTAAGATTCAAGCTTTTCTTAAAATCTAATGGACCATTATGGTTTAAGGCAGGGGTCTTCAACCTTTTTCAGGCCAAAGACCCCCTTGGTGGATAATGAGACCGAGCACGGACACCCTGTTACATACAGCCTTTAAAATGTTTTATTATTATTATTACTATTAACATTGATAATAAGTATTTTGAGCACCAAATCAGCATATTAGAGTGATTTCTGAAGAATCATGGGACACTGAAGGCTGGAGTAATGGCTGATGAAAATTCAGCTTTGTCATCACAGGAATGAATTACATTTTAAAATATATTACAATAGAAAAGTTATGTTAAATTACAATAATATGTCAGTTTTATAGTTTTTACTGAATTTTTATTTAAATAAATGCAGCATATTCATTATTTTAACATTTACTTTATACACTGTAGAGTGGGAAGCACAATAAAAGCTTTTGTTGAAATCAACTCATTATTGTTTAGTGCATGTTTTTCTTTTTTCAAAATAATTATTTTGAGATCAAACAGTAATTGCCAGACCCCCTGCCGTACCACTGTGGACCCCCTGTTGAAGACCCTTGTATTAAGCTGAATTGTGTTTTTTGTTGTTGCCATGTACTTTTTTCCTTTTAGCAGGCACAAATTCTTTTGACTCTTGGCACAAATAGAGCTGTACATACTTATTTTAGTCATGCGTGGAACTGAAAGAGGCTTTGTTTCACTTGGATTTTGATTGTGTTGAATCCCTCTAGGATTTTCACATTTTGTGAATGTGTGTGTGTGTGTGTGCATACATCCCTTGACAGGTCTGGCCGTCCAGTCAGTTTCACAGTGGTCTTCAGTACGCCCAGTCCAATTAGCAAAATCTCCTGGGTCAATCGCCTGCATCTGGCCAAAATTGCCCTGAGTAAGTGTGGCATCTCTGGCTTGAGTAACATATTGTTGACATGAATCTTTCACTTATTATTTTCATGGATTCATTTTCTTGTGTGTAAAAAGCTTTGAGTTTAAGTATTGCGCCTCTGGCTAAGCTTATTACCGTTTGTGTAGGAAATGAAAACTTGCCTGGCTGGGTGTGTGTAGAGGATGATGAAAAGACTAAGCCTCCATTCTGGTGCCCGTTACTGGCCTGCCAATTGCCTGTGTTTACCCCAAAAATGCAAGATCTGAAGGTAAGTGATAGCCAACCAACCAATTTGTATTTGTGTAAACTTAAGAAAGAACACTATTCAGCTACACACAGAAGTCATTTTGTCGTTTTTTATGTTTTACCAAAAACAACTGAAAAATGAAAGTTCTCTTGTCATTATAAGTGAATTGTGAGTGGTTAAATGTAAGCCTGACTTGTTGTGCAGAAACATTTGTATTAAATTAGCAAAATGGAAGCATATTCACTAATAGTCTCAGACTTGTGATCCCCACTTGATGTGTTATACTTTAGCTTTTATGAAACTCTTGAAACTGACTTGTCAGTGTACCAGCAGAGGCCATTTAGTGCTGCAAAATAAATCGCCTCCTGTGGTAAATTGAGAAGTTAGTTTCAAGAGTTTCATACGAGCTATTTGTATTTGTGGAAATTTAAGAAAGAACACTATTCAGAAACACACAGAAGTCATTTTATGTTGTTTTTTTATGCGTTTTACAAAAACAACTCAAAAATGAAAGTTCTGTTATCATTGTAAGTGAATCGCGAGTGGTTAAATGTAAGCCTGACTTTTTGTGTTCTACCTGTAGGAAAGAAAAACTACAAATGAGATCGGGTGTGTGTTCACGGTGTGTGTGTGTGTGTGTGTGTGCACTTGGATGGGTGAAATGCAGAGTACAAATTCCAAGTATGGGACACCATACTTGGCCACATGTCACTTCACTTTTTTTTTTTCAGAGCAACCTCTAAGTGCAGTGTTTTTCCTAGAGCTGCAGGAAAAACTTTTCCTTTGGGTAGTCAGTGTTTGATCTCAGACAAGGCAGATTGTACTCCGATTTAGATTCAGACATTCATTGGTATGCATGTGGTAGACTATCATTCACTGCTTGCTTGGCCAAAATGCTAAGCTTTTTTCTGCTCTATCAGTACTGCAAAACATGGTGGATTGGCAATCTTTCTGTCATAGTATTTGCAGTCAGACATGGTGTCTGAATCACAAACACATGTTGCCTTACATTTGCATTTAGCTTTGATCTTCTATTTTGTACGGCATTGCTGTTTTACACCTCCAGGTCGGTGTGCAGCTTCAAACATCTGGTCAGTACTTTCGATCCACAGGACTTCACAGTTTTATTCAAGACCTTCTGCTGGTCCAATTTTGATTATATTTATTAGCAATAGTTCTGTTCTCCCATTGGATTTCATTGCGTTACTGTTATGATTTGTCATTGAATTACAGTTTTGTTGAGATTAGTATCTCATATTCATTCTCAATGAGTGGCTCGTTGATTTCTGTAGTGTATTCAATGTTGTTTTTGCAGGTTCTGTTAATTTGTCACTCAGATACTGTTATCTAGCTGGTTAACAGATGAGGTTTTGCCAAAATTGCAATAATGACTTGTGATAGTCATGAAAGCATCAGTAAGGATATGCTGTAAGCTCCAAACCATGTTGTTCAGATGTCACCGTTTTCCAGGAAAAATGTGTTTATAAATGTATGGATTTACAGTATAGCTGTATAAGTTTCAATTATAATTTTCTGTATTTTCTTTTTGTAATGAAGAAAAATGGTTGTAAACAAAACCAATAGCTCAAATGTAATATAGTCCAATATGTTTTACCAACACACATCAGTATAGTTTATGACCACGTTGTTTCATTGTCCACAAACGTTCTGGTTCATTAGCTCTGTTTTCCTGACAACTGTGAAATGATTTTTTGTGTGGTCTTCCCAAATCCCTAATATCCCATAGCAAGTGTATTTCATAGGAAGCAATATGACAAATGCTTCACAACTCATTTGCTGCCGGTGTGTTCACTTTATTATTCTCAAAATGTGATGCATTCACCCTTTAATGATTGCTTTCCATACCGCTATCAACTCTGGATGAGTGGCTGATGCGTCTTCTGGATGCTTTGGTCGCTCTTACAGCTACAAACCTCACATGCTCATCTGATCCAGATCCTGCATCTAATGTTTTTGATGTCTCTTGTCGGTGGATGTTCTTTTTGCCTGGGATGTGTAGTACTTTGAAGTCATACGGTTGCAGCCTTAGGACCCATTGTTCAGAGCTGGCAGAAGGTTTAGATTAAGGACTAAATATAGTCCCTATAGTATTTTAGTCTGTGATCAAATCAAACTTTCTCCCAAAAGCTAAGGCTTCACTATCTGTATGCCTATATTTGCATTCAGTCTGCCTGCGATTCACCGAGCATGTATACATATTTCCTCTTTGGTACTGAACAAACACCCGTCTTAACCTACGGAATGTGCATCTGCTTTTATCTGCATTCTGTCATCATCCTTTTTGAAGTATACTCCAGTGCCAGCCTTGCCCAAAATGAGTTTGAATATGTTGCTTTACTGTAGCTCACAAGTCCCAAGAAGAAATGTCTTCATAGAAAAGATTGATTCGCGGCTTTTGAGAATCGATATCGAAGCGACGTCATTTTAAAAAACGATGAATCGGAAAATCGATTTTTTTTGCCCAGCCCTATTGATTTGATTCTTTGCTTTGTTGACAAAACTTCCATGAAGTTCAATATACTTGCTTACCTGAAAATATACTTGGATTTGAAGTTTAGTAATGAAGCATTCCCATTAAAGCTGCAGTGAAACTAAAGTAGCAACAGATCTTTTCTTCCATATTGTGCAGATATCCGAGTGTAGCAGACTATTAAAAAAGAAACCAATGCAGAGCGTTTTTTAGAAATATGTATGTATATATACACACACCTACAGGTCAAAAGTTTGGAATCATTAAGATTTTGAAAGACGTGCTCACCAAGGCTGCATTTATTTAATAAAAAATAAAACAAGAACTTGTAAAATTTTATTACAATTTAAAATGACAGATGTCTATTTAAATATATTTTCAAATGTAATTTATTCCTGTGATGGTAAAGCTGAATTTCAGTGTCACATGATCCTTCAGAAATCATTCTAATATGCTTACTTCCTGCTTAAGAAACATTACTCATTGTTATCATCAATGTTGTCTTTTAAGACCTCCAAATACAAAATTCTAAATACAAAAATGTTGTAAACATGGCATCTACCATCAGAGGCTAACTGGACAATGCTAACAAACCCTGACCCCTTGCTTGCACAGCTTTCTCCTAGTGCATGACAGGCAAAGCCGTGAGCAAGCCAATTAAATCAGTGTAGAAAAATGGAGATCCTTATTTTCCAAGAAAAGTCCAAATTGGAACAAAGTGAATCACTTGTCTTCTTCAAAAGGGAAGCTTCTAAATACTATATGAATGGAAGCATGTGTTTATATTTTTGTACATAAACAAATGTATGTTTGTGACTGAGTAGATCTAAAGAGGTTCCTAAATATAACTTGCGTGACTTATGTAGGAGAAACTTTTTTGTGGGAAATGTTAGATGGTTTAAAGAGTGGGGGGAAAATACCTTCATTACTGCAGATTAAAGCGAGGCAGATCTGTGCCTGCTAGAGAAGATGCAGGAATAGACAAGCGGATTCTTATGTGATGTGAAGTTGAGTCTGTGTGCAGGAGGAACACCCATGAGACAAATGTGGCTGTCTAAAATCGGTTTTCCCACATAACCCATCTCCACCCCATATTATCAGAATGCAAAAAATAATGAGTTTGAGAAGCATAAAGAAGGATTGAGGACACTAAAAATTGTCAGGTCATTAAGATGTCTTTCTAAAATGCTACAGTAAGATACAGCGGCGCAAAAGCCTGACACAGAACCTTGTATAAATAATTCCAGTAGGCTAATTCATGTACATATTAAATATTCTGCCTGTTTTTTCCATGGAGGGGAAAATGTGAATAAAAGCCGTGGCCCCAGTAGATTGCTTAAGATGAAAAGGGGCTCCATTCCCACTGTGCATATCCAGGAAGAGTGAGTTTGCAGCAAGTTTTGCACAGCAGAGTGCTGAGCATCAGGCTCACAGCAGGAGAGGGACAGTGGCAGCCTGCGATTCCCACGCAAGATCCTCCTCAAACACAATAAGGACCGTTTCATCTAAACAGGTCATCCTCTTACCATGAAACTGTGCTATAGGCTAATGTGTCATGACAATGTAATGGGTTCTCATTACATTACAGATAAAAGCCATCTATAGTAGTCCCCCAATTTTGTATAATGTGAATGATATTTTGGTCAACAATTTGCAACAAACCTGTACGAACATCAAAAAAGTAGACCTTTTTTCATAAATGTCCTGGTCATTATTTACATGTTATTAGAAAAATTGGGAACTGGAGCTTTCAAAGTTCAAAAAGCGTCATGTACTAGTACATCAAGTACTAGTGCTGCAAATAACTTGGGGTGAGGTATTACTTTAATAGAAAACCAGAAAGAAGTTAGATTTATCTGTATTTTGTCATGTCACACTTAATTGGTTATGAAATTGACTGGATGGATTTTGACATGATTATACATTCATAATTATGCGCCATTATGTTGAAAACAAAACTCTTAAAACCTTAGTTGTATACTTCTCGTGAGCTGTAATTACAAGCTGCTGTAGTTAATCTGAAGTTACGACAGTATGTGCTGAATGATGTGCTGAATTGCTGTGGTAAACAGTGTACTCTTAATTAAGATTAACACAGTGTCAGCAGGGGTGGGTTTGTCACCAGACATGTGGGCCCTGATGATTAAACCTGGAATAATAGCTTGTCTGGCTTGTGCATAAATTATATGTGAATGGCAATGGGTGTTTAATAACCTTATGTCTGTGTAATTTGAGCCAAAACACCCTGCAGTCAATTAACTTCGTTTACATCTCTTTCCAAGCAAGTGTTGGCTGTGGTCACCAGCTCTTTTATATGTGCACTAACTCAGCATGTATCAGAGCTGCCACAGCTGCCAAAACATGGACAACAAAATGTGTAAAATTAAGAGAGTCAATGTGTCCCATGCCTTTCATGGGAAAATAAATCTGAAATGCAATCGCTTTTCTATGTCTTTCTGAAACAGGAAAATCAAAAGATGTGCATCATATTTATCATGCCCCATTTAAAGCCTTCAATCCAAAATAAATAAATAAAAGTGTAAAGGTCTGTGAGTGACACTATGCCATTTTGATTAATATCAAATATTCCTGTAGTCAAGAGCAGGCTACTCTTAATGCTTGCCTTGAAATCGAGCCTCAAGATGCTTACTTTGAGGGTAAATGGAATAATATCCTGCCTTTTTGTTGATCGACTCAAAATTTTTGCTGATCACTTGTTAGTGTGCAGAATAAAACTGCAGTTGCACTACAATGGTCCACTGTACTTATCTGCATCCTACATTGCAGAAGCAGAATTATAGTGTTAGACATACAAAGAGACGGTAAAACTGCATATCTGTCAGAAAACAGAAATAACACAAAAAAGTGTGTGTATACGAACATACATTTTGTGAAATGTTATTATAATGTAAAATAATTGATTCTTTTTGAATATATTTAAAAAATGTATTTTTTTTGTGTAATGGCAATACTGAATTTTCAGCAGCTATATAACATTCTAATATGCTGATTTGATGCTCAAGAAACATTTCTTATTATAATTTTAGAAAAAATAAAGTTTTTAACACTTAACAGTTTTATTGAAACCATTTTAGACTACCATTTATAAGTTTGGGATAAATACGTTTTAAAAAGAAAAGAAAAAAATATGTAATACTTTTATTCAGCAATTAAGTTGGTCAAAAGTGACAGTAAAGATGTTTATACTGTTATGAATATACTTTTTTTTTCTTATTAAAGAATCCTGAAAAAAACAAAACAAATGTATCACTGTATTTGCAAAAATATTAATCGGCAGTTTTCAACATTGTTAATAATTAGAAATATTTCTTGGGCAACAAATCAGCATATTTGAATGAAGGATGATGTGAAGACTGGAATAATGGCTGCTGAAAATTCAGCTTTGCCATCACAGGAATAAATTACATTTTAAAATATAAGAGACTTCCTTCAAAAACATTAAAAAAAATCGTAATGTAGCATGTGTATATAGCAATTTAAAATAATTTTTATTTTTGTGTGTGTGTTGTAATATTCAACTAATTTACAGAGCCGCATTTTTTAATGTTGATTTCCAAAAGTGATCTCTTCATCTTGTTTTTTGCAGTTGCAGGCTGGCCTGTATAACCCGGTCCACTGTTCTCTTCTTGGTTTTTCTGCAGCTAGCACATCCTTGCCTCAGGGCTACCTCTGGGTAGGTACACTTTGCACAATGAGAACATCTTTTCTTCTTTATAAATCATCACTGCACTGGTGCAGGAAATTGTAATATCTCTGTATATGTCTGATGGTGCACTTCCCTCACCTCACCTCTGATGCACGATTGAAACAAATCATCCACAGACATTTGAATAGTCCACCTCTAACCAGGGCTGTCATCAGGCCAGTACAACTGAGGACATCCTGAGCTCCTTACTTAAACTTACTGATAATATGCCAATTTCCCAGACCTCCAGTATCACACTAAGTAGTTGTTTAGCAGATGTTATTTTATCCACATAGAGTATACTTGCTCAAAGGCACAATGGAAATAGCTCATGGGTTTGAACCTCTAGTCTTTTAAGTACTACACCACATTAAATATAATTTGCCTCAGCACAGTATTCAGTTTATATTTAAGCAATATTTCATAAGCAAGGGTGATGTTGTTCTGAATACTCATTACACTTTACAGTGCAAGTAAAATTAATTAGATATTACGCATAACTTGTATTTTTACAGCACTATGTTGTAATTGTTTCCCATCGGGTAATCAAAAGTTCTACACATACTTGCAGTCTTTACGCCCATTTGAATACTTGGGCCAAATTCAGGAAATACAGCATGTAAGTAGACAAGTGGTTAAGCGCAAAAGACTGCAAGTGTAGGTATTATTTAGGAGAGGCCCATTATCACTTGTTTTATTCCTGAATGAATGGGTTGAATGAATGATTCAATGACTCATTCATACTTGTCGCCACTTGCTGGCTTAACAATGTAACATTCAGAAGGAAGCACTTAAAAATGTAGACAAACTGTGAAAAGTCCCAATTTGTTTGGAGGATTTTAACTAACTTGTATAATTTCCAACATAAAAGTTTCCAGGCCATGAACCAGTTCTAAATTCTGACTGAATCACAACTCCTACATTGAAATGTACTTTTCTGTGATATTTTTCTTTCGGCTTACAGAGATTTTCCACCTGAAGTAAGTGATGTTAGCAGGAGCTCCTAAAAAAAAAAACACTGTTAGAATAGTTTGATCGAGGTTTAAAAGAAAGAGGGAAGCAGGATTAAAAGTTTCTCGAAAGGCAGCTCTAGAAACAAACATCAAGTATTCCACATCAAAAGCCATTCTATAAATCATTTATCTCATGGCTGTGCTTCCACATTTTCCCCCATCTTTTTTGCTTGCAGCCTCTCAGAGGGCCATGTCAGTGAGTTCAGGCACTGGATGCCCTCCTTCTCATGTTTGTTTTCTTTTGTTCCATCTATTTTGCACAGGTGGCTAGTGGGGGTGACGACTCCCATGGGCAGGTGGAGATTTTCTCCCTTAACAGACCCACGCCACGCTCCGTTAAGAGTTTCTCTCTAGCTTCCCCAGTGCTTTGTCTGGAGTATATCACAGAGCCCAGCACTGATGAAGAACTGGAAACACAAACCTCTGAAGTTCTTTCCAAGATCGGCAACACCATCTGTGTAGGATTATTGGATGGCAAGTAAGTCTGAATACATATCTGTATTGGTCTGGAATAATTTGAGTCATTACATTGCAAATTTTATGCAGTCAGCCAGTACTAATTTGCTTCTTTCCCAGAGAAAAGCTCTTGATACTTTGTGTGTGTGTGTGTTTCTCAAGCATCCTGGTTTATGGAAGCGTGGACACTGCTGCTCAGTGTCTGCTAACATTTTGTAACCCCGAGGGCTGCCCAGTTCTGTGCCTAAAACACTCTGCCAACTTTCTCTTCGCTGGACTAAGTAATGGAAAAGTCGCAGTTTATAACCGAAAGGGTGGAGGTAGAATAATTTCAGTGCAACTTTTAGTGTAAATATCGATTAAAAAGGGATGGTTCACTCAGAAATGAAAATTCAGTCATCATTTCACTCTTCTGTTGTTCCAAAACATGACTTTCTTTTTTCTGTGGAACATAAAAGAAGATAAATGGTCACCAAAACTGTTTGGTTACCAACATTCGTCCACAGATTCCACAGAATAAAGTCAAGCAGCTTTTGGGCATGAGGGAGAGTAAACAATGACAGAATTTTCATTTTGGGGTAAACTATACCTTTTATTAATTCTACAATATTACATTTAATAAATTCATTTTTTTTATTTACTTTGGATTTACATTTGCAGGAAACAATATGTGAACTGGATTTTTGCATAAATTGGTCATAAAATTCCATAAAATCAACAAAAAACAAGCGCAATGTGTTTAAACACAACACAAAAGCGATGATGCATTTGCATGTCTTTATTGGGCACGCCATGTAAACAGTCACAGGGCAGGGTGGGAAAAAAAAGTGTTTCCTCTTTACAAAAATCATTTCAGTTTAGCAGTATTCTTCAGGTTGAGGTCAAGACTGGGCCACATCAGATGGGGTATTTTATTGTTGATTTAGTCCTGGGATTGGGATCACCGTCCTGTTGAACCGCTCAACTTCGGAGTTCCAGCTGGCAAACAGATGACCTTACATCCTGCTGCAAACTGACCTGATAAATTTAGGAAGTGATTTTTCTGTCAATGAATGTAAGCTGCCCAGACCGTGAGGCTGCAAAACCCCATGATGTCCCTCCATTTCAGTTTTTCTGAAGAGCTACTAACTACTTTCAAACACCTTTGGCTTCATCTGTCCACAGGATATTTCACCAGCAGCACTGGCAAAAACATCCAGGTGCTCTTTTGCAAAGGTTTTTTCATATACACTTTCAGGCCCATCTAAATGTTGGGATTTCAGTTTAGCCAACACACTCTTGTGGCAATTTGTACCTATTTTATGTTTTTGGCAAAGTGAAGGATAATTTGTATCAATTTGTATGATCTCCTATACGTTTTTGTACAATCTGCTTACGCCCCATTGGCAGTTAGGTTTAGGTGTGGACTTTCATGCTTACGTTTTTTCTAAAGATCGCTTATTTCCGTACAAATGACATAATATTAGTTTATACAAAATCAGCACTTCGTAAAATAGTTATGTAGATCGGGTTGGGTTAGCGGACTCCAAAAATGAAAGTTCTGTCATAATTTACTCACTTCATGTCTTTCCAAATCTGTATAACTTTATTCTTCAGTGTAAAATGAAAGAAGATACTTGGAAAAATAGAAAAACTCCAGGTAAAAGGTCCACATATTTTTTCCTGCAACTGTATACAGCACTAATGCCTCATGTTTGATATTGCTTTGTGCTTATGACAATATAGTTTTGAGTGTTTTTTTTTTTCATTTACTAGTTTGATAGAAAAAAGTAATACTAAGTTAATTCTCTTCAATTTGAATTTATCCTCTCTGAATCTACTGCTACAATTTCAAAGATGTGTAAATATTAGCCATTTCCAGTAGCACCTCTAAATCCAGCATGCATTTTGCAGTTACAGAGGGGTTTTGGGATCCAGATTCCTGCAGACATGTGGTTATTGGATGCGCGCCTGTCCTCAAACTCCTCCAAATAGACGAGTGTGTGTGGGCCAGCTGTGCCAACCAGGTCTCTGTGATTGAAGGCTCCTCTCTCAGGACTCAGGTATTCTTCTCCTCTGAGAAATGCGTTGGTGAAATTAGAATGTGTTGAATGTGATTCCACAATTTTCACAATGAAGATGTAGCACACAACTGCTTTTCTTAAGACTGTATGAGTCAAAAGAGTGAACTGTCATGTCACATATCAAAGCTTGAGATCAGTTCTGTAACAAAGGTTGGTTTAGGAAAGCTTGAAATTATTCTTTTATTTCAGAGTTTTACATTTAATTTCTCTGTTAAGACGGCTTCCCGCGCTAGATGCATTATGAGAGAGCATCTTAAGCCACACATAAAAGGTATCCTCCCTGTAGAAGCCCAACAGCATGTTAGGATGCTAGCCTTTGATCACTTGTGATAGTTGAGCCAACCTCTCTATTTTGCCGCAAGGAGCGCACCCTCCTTCTGCCTTCTTGATGCTTAATATCAGGATTAAATTCAGCTCTGGAAGTTGGACGTTTAGTTCAACCGGAAGATAAGATGTGGGTAGGCAAATGGACATGTCATCCTGTTTTCATTTGCAGGTCAATAGTTGTTTGCACCTATAGAAAATGCAGAATGTAAGAATTTATCTGTTGTAAAACTAAAGCAAGGTCCAGGAAGTACAAAAGGAAGTACAGGCATAGCCTGCAATTATATGGCCCATTAGTATGTAAGAAGGCAACAGTAATATTGTGAAATGTTATTACAATTTAAAATAATTATTTTTAATATATTTTAAAATTCAAAAATATCAAACCATCATTTGGTCCAACAACTATGGTTACTAAAAATGTGTATGAATATATAAGATATTTACACTTGACAGCTTACCGTAACTTTTATCTTTTGTATATTTTATCTTAGAAAAATACCATATTTTATATATATATATAAAATATTATAATTGCCCCTTACTGTTGTTTTCTTTTGACTTTTATCCATTTCCCAAACATTCTTATTGGGTTTAAGTGGATTATTTACTAATTTAACCTTTTATGGTTTTCCTTAACACTTGGCATTCTGGACTGTGATGTAATATGTCTAGCCTTATATGTCCAAACAGACTTTCATTAGGTAGAATATAATCTGACATCGAATTATACCCACTCTAGAGCACTACAGTCTACAGTCTTGGCCTAAACTTTGATGTTTAGCTTTGATTTTTTTTTGTGTCTTTCCCCCTAAATCTATTATTCCTCTTGCTCTTTCTTGATTTTATGCATTTTCATAATTATTTTGTATTTTTTTATGATTCCCAGAGTTTCGAAGTTCATCCAGACCCCATGGTTAGTGTGACCCACATGGTGCGTGCTGGAGGAGGGGTGTGGATGGCGTTTTCAGAGGGATCATCCCTACGTCTGTTTCACACAGAAACATTGGAACACCTCCAAGAGATCAACATTTCAACACCCTCTGCATATCTGAGCCCTGGCAAGTCCAACATGTGAATTTGGTGCAGGATATGAATTCTGCAAGATAATGTTTTGGCACACAGGTCCTGAAAGGGGCAAACGTGTTTGCAACTGAGCAGGAGTTGGTAGAAAAATGTATAAATAAAATATCAAATAAAATTAAGTAAAACAATTTTTTATTTTAATTATCAATTAATCATATTTTCTTCATAGGTCAAAAATCTGTGTGTGTAACCAGCCTGCTTATCTGCCAAGGACTGCTATGGGTGGGCACAGCTCAGGGCATTATTGTCACCCTGCCAGTGCCCAGACTAGAGGGCATTCCCAAAATAACAGGTGAGCCACAATTTAAACAAACAAAGCACTGCATCCATGCCTTCTTTTTGTTACCAAACACAAACTGTCCCTCTTTTCCATCAGGCAAAGGGATGACGTCACTTAACGCTCACAACGGCCCTGTTGAATTCTTGGTTGCCACCTCCAGCATTTTATCCCAAGATTTTCTGAAGCGGGATTCTACTACGGAGGGTGTGGATTCAAGTGGTGGAGGTGAAGATAAGAAGGTGACAAATTCCTCTCAGGAGTCCCTCCAGCAGGTGGATGGCTCTCCTCAGGCCAAAGCTAAAGGAGTGCTACTGCAGTACCACCTCCGTTCCACCTCTCAGCTCCCAGGAAAGCTCCTGACGGCCCGGCCCGAAGAATCATCCGACTCGACCCAGGACTCTCTGGAGCACACCCTAGAGGACGGTTCCATCTATGAGCTAAGTGATGATCCCGAGGTTTGGGTCAGAGGGCCTGGGCCATCATCAAAGGAAGTGGCACGTAGGGAGAAAGTGACTTCAGCTGCCATCATATCCGGTGGAAAAGGGTTCCGTCGACTCGCTAAATCCTCCAACTCCCCTGACTCCAGTGAGAACACACTCATGGTCTGGCAGCTGCCCATTACAGTTTGAGGCAGTGATTAATTCTTCTTCCTTTGGCTTTCATCAGGAGTTTTTGCAGTGATGGAGATTGTTGGATCATTGAAGGACAAACAGACTGTATGGCTTATGACAGGGGTGGCGAACGTCGGTCCTGGAGAGCCGCAGCCCTGCAGAGTTTTACTTCAACCCTAATCAAACACACCTGAACAAGCTAATCAAGGTCTGAAGGGTTACTAGAAAGCTACAGGCAAGTGAGTTTTAATTAGGGTTGGAGCTGTACTCTGCAGGGCTGCGGCTGTCCAGGACTGGAGTTCGCCACCGCTGGCTTATGAGGATTATTTATTCCTCTTCTCCTCCAGAAGGTTTTTAAGGAATATTCCAGATTCAGTAAAAGTTAAGCTGTGGCAAAATGTTGATTTGCCTGAAAAAAATGTCCTTCATTAAAAAAATAATAATCTTTGTTATTGTGAGGCCCTTACAATGGAATGAAAGGGGCCAATCTGTAAACATTAAAATAATAACTGTTTCAACAGCATAGCCACAGGACTTAAAACAACATGTGTTAACATGGTTTTAGTTTGAAAAAAATAAAACTGCTATTACAGTGCAGCACTGTAAACCTTATTATGAATATAAATGATAAGAATATAATGGATAAATGATTTAGAGCTCAAATAATACATGTTTTAACAGAAACAATTAAATCACAATTAAATGATAAGCTTCACAATTCTTCTTTTAAATCCTAAATTGGCCCCATTCACTTGCATTGTAAATGCCTCAGCGTAACCAACATTTTTGCTTTAAAAAAAAAAAAAAAAAAGAAACCGAGGGACAAGTTAAAATAATTATTTTACTATTTTGGTGGTAATACCCATAATGCCACAAATGCTTTTAAGGAAGCCAGAATATTCTTAATATTCTTAAAAAAGTTAATAAACAACCACGCCATTTAATGTTCATCTGTCATAATAACAGCATGTGCTTGGTATATAATGCACCACAACTGAATATAAAATAATCTCACCTTTTGAAAATATTACTAAATGATTGATACCACCAAATGATCTGCATGCGAGGAATCAGGGTAAGTGTTGTCGTTTGTTTTGTTTTTTCACAAAAAGTAATCCTGAGTATGTATCTGAGTATTGGCTGTGACCCAGTTCTTTCTTGTTTAAATGATAAAAGATATGTTTTTATGCAGCACCACCAAAGCGGTGTGCACAGAAAAGTAAGGTAGCTGAATATTCGGAGTCAGTCTATTTAAATGTGTTTTAATGTTATTTTAGTGTGAAATGTGATAAGGAGAAATTAAGTCTTCGCTGTAGGTACTTGTGTCTGATGGTTCTCGTTGTTCGCAGTGTCACTTTGTAAAAAAAAAAATGAAATCATATTTACAGTGATTGAAGTTTTTGCAATTTTTCCATTACTATTTCATTTCATTTAAAAGCATTTAATTTTAAACTGACTCAACATTAAATGGTATTGTGTGTGAAGAACTGCTGTAAATGAATATTGCAGAGTAATATTTTATGTTGAATCTCAGCATATTTTCAGCCTTTAATCTCTGGGCAGCCACTGCCAGCTCTCACATTAAACATATCAGCAAACGCAGTATGGCGCAGCTCAGGCAGCGGCTAATATATGCACATTGTGACACCAGTGCTACGTGAAGAGGATGCCAAATCACGTCTCTGGCAGACGCGGAGTAAAACTGACATGTTAGGATTTAAAGGAGCTGTATAACAGTCACTCATTGTTCTGGTAGTAGATGTTTTTGCTCATTTAATCTAATTTTGTGCAATTCCTGTTGTGCTATTCAAGTAAATGACATGATGTATTTAATTCATTCTCAAATGCATCAAGCTAGGCTGTTATTGAATATAAAAGCTATTATGTTTGCAGAAGAGAAACTTTGGTTTACTTTCAGAATGGTGTTTTTCTCTATGACAGTAAGTTTCTTTTGTCTTGTGATTAGTAAGGAGCCTCATTTAGTTTGAAGAGCTGTTAACTATGCTTACATCAAAGGCTTCTAATTAGAGATGTTTGATTACTTTGTGTCTAGTGGGAAATCAAGAATCTCATTATTGCTAATTGAAGGACTTGATCAAGATAATGCCCCTCCTTTGTAAAACTTAAATAGCAGCACAATGTTCATACCTCTGTGACTATGGAGGATGTGCAAATAACTGTACTTAATTACAATGTGTGTTGATTTAAGATGCTCTGTTAAAAAAATCCTCTTAAATTTATGGTAAAAATAGAAACCATATAGTTTCAAGTATATTGCTAATTCATAACCATTAATTTTTTTATATAATGTTAATATATAAACCTGAACTAAACAGCATAAAGTGTAACATAACACCCCGGATGTACATAACTGATAAAAATGAACTATTTAAATAAAACATTTGAATTAAAATTAAATTCTGAATGTCACACACTGCATTTTATTGACCCACAAAAATCATACTTTGTACTTATATTTATTTTATTAATATGTATGTTTTATAGTGTGTGAGCAATTAACACGTTTTTCCTGTTGCATTTTGTACATTATTTTGTACATGTATTTTATTTATACATGTAAAAAATACTGTAAAAAAATGCAACAGGAAAAACGTGTTAATTGCTCACACACTATAAAATAAAACATACATATTAATAAAATAAAAATAAGTACAAAGTATGATTTTTGTGGGTCAAAAAATGCAGTGTATGACATTCAGAATTCATTATTTTCTCTTAATGTTTTTACAGTGTGGGTTGTGCTTCACTGTTTTTCATTTTTCTCAACAGTGTGAATATAAGAAAAAGAAAAGAAAAGAAAAAAGAAACTGCTGAGAGAGAGAGAGAGAGAGAGAGAGAGAGAGAGACAGAGAAAGCTTTTCTGGAAAAATGTCTGACCTGATCCTCTGTGATCACAATACACTGGGAGTAGCCTAGTATCTAAATGTCATGGTGTACCATAGGCAATTTGCGGGTGGGACATGTCCCCAGCACTTTTTGCCAAAGTCGAATCTGGCCACAGCACTTTTTGAAAGCCGCTGAAAAAAAGCATGCAGAAGGCTTATAACGCAAAGTAAAAGTGTCTCTGACCTGTCTCCATTTGTTCTTCATAATTAGCCAATTCATTCATGTAACATGAAATATATTTGCGCTAGTCAGACAGGCCTGATCTATAAACCTTGTCACACACATATCAGCATTTATAAACAGTAAACGGCGTAATGTTATGAGCAAAGAGCGCTCCCTTTATAATTACTGACAAGCTGTCACTAATCTTATCGCGATCAAGTTCTGTTAAAATCAATGAATCTACACCAAGTACCGTATTGACCCGAATATAAGACGATGATTTTTTTCTTGGAAAAACATCTGAAAAAACGAGAAGGGTGTTCCTGCACAACCGGAGGCTGCAGTTTCAGGACCGCGGTTCTAGGACCCTATGCTTTTGTAACAGCGCCACCTACCGAATTGGATAATATAGCGGAGACAAAAGAAAAAGAAAACCTTACAGGTGCATAAGTCGTGACTGTCACATTAGCCTGATGGGACCAAACTCCCTTTGTGATTTTAAAACGTAAGACAGTACCCAGATTTGAAGACTACAGTAAGATTTAACTTCTACTGTTAATAAGATTTTGGTAGGCTACTATTAGATGGATAGCCTAAATGTCCTAATTCAGATGGGCTACCTGTTTATTTTTATTTTTTTAATGGTATATCAAAAAAGTGTATATTTTTTAAATGTGATTGTTGGTACATTTTACCAGTTTTTACCAAACTTTCAAAACAAAAATTAAAATAGGAAAAATATGCAATATGAAAATAATTGAAGACAAAATGTGTTTTACTGACAAAAAAACAAGATTTGTTTTTTAAAAAGCCTTTTTCCCAAAGGTACATCTGGAAAAAGGGGGTCGTCTTATATTCGGGCCAATACGGTAATGAATCTCTTATTTAAAGTTGCATCATGTTTACACTTCGCAAGTGCACAGTAGCCTACTCAGCGCGGACTAAATCGACGCATTTTGAGCAGTGAGCTGCTGAAAAAACCCCCAGCTAAAACCAGCCTAAGCTGGTTGGCTGGTCTTAGCTGGTTTAAGCTGGAAGCAGCTGGTTTTAGCTGGTCTCCCAGCCCGACCAGCTAAGGAAGTGGCCAAAACCCCTCTAAAACCAGCCTGCTGACCAGCTATGACCAGCCTAGACCAGGCTGGATGACCAGGTAAAACCAGTCAACCAGCTTAGGCTAGTTTTAGCTGGGGGTTTTTTTTCAGCCTTTAATGCCTTTGATTGGCCATTGCATTCATGAAATCAACAGATGTGTCTGACTGTCTGTGAATGGTTACATTACTCAAGGCAAAACACGTTGGAAATAGAAACCTTTGACGCTTTCCAGAGCACAGACAAATGCGCACTGCTAGCCAAATCGGTTAGGTCAATATGTTATTATTTATTACAGCTTCAACTGAAGACGCTTACCCATCACCTCCGTAAAACCAGGTCTGCGGGGAGGATTGCTTCGCTGTCAAAATTCTGTACTGCAGAATTATACTTTAGAAATCATGAGTCGGAGCGCAAAGAAAATATTTTTATCTTAAAAATGATCAGTGAGGCGCAATTGATTCAGAGGATGGCTTAAACACACTGCCGGTGTTCTGACGATGTGTGCTACCCTGTCAGATTTTGCTACCTCCCATTAAAACAGATGGTAGCATAATTCGATAGCGAAAAGTGCTACCTATCTGATGTTGCTTCCAGCATGGTATTAATAAGGTGTGAGGCTTTATTAACATGTACACCTACCCCAACCCTAAACCTACCCTTACAGTAGGATAAATACAGTGTTAGTAGCATAATCTGATAGGTAGCATTATTTGTCAGAACACCTGGACCCGTTCGACATCTACTGTACCGCTGTCGCACGTGTTGTGCGGCCAGGGCCGTTTCTAGCCAATTTGACGCCCTAGGTGAAATCGCTATTAAATCGTAAAAAACGCACACCTTTTGGACAAATCTGCCACAAATATTTGGACAAATGTGCCACAAATACTACCTAAACAAAATACTGATTTTGTGCACTTTATTTACTGTACCAACATTTTAAATTGGCCTTTGAACTTAGCTTTATTGCATGGCAAAAAATAGTGTTACCTTGCCAAAGCACTGACAGAGCCCACTGATCTA